CCGGGGGCGGTACCGCCCACGTTGAGAACCGCTACTTTAATATTTTGATGATTTATCTTTGGTGATAAACTCTAAGACTTTGAGGTTGGAAGGTCTCTTTGCTATCACCTTAATCTTTAGCTTCCTTCACATATTAGCTATGTTCACCGCTTGCTTGTAGCTTCCATCACTTCTGTGTTGCAGCAAGTTTGAAATGTTGCACCTTTGTTTTTCTTCTCTCTTTGCTACTCCATCTGCCCACGCCCACAGCCAATCAGTGAACAGGAGTGAAGCTTGCATCACCCATGAAAGTAGGGCCGGCCTGGCTGGCCCTAATCCAAAGCAGGGACCTAAAAAGCAGGACCAGCCTAAAACAAAAGCCAGTGGAAATACTCGCAAAGCAAGCTGAGTAGAGCCGAGCCTATCAGGATTCAAATTAGGATCCAGGCTGGGCTGCTCCAAAAATAGGAAGCAGTCTTTCTCCTTAATTATTGTAAAAAAAATAAAATACATAAATCTAAAAATTTTAGTTTAAACTTGACTAATACGTAAAGACTCAAACACATATTCAACTCTTTGATTCTTAACCTCTCATTTAACATTCAGAGGGCCTGTTGATATAGTAGATACATAAAAATCACAACCAGGCTGAGCCTCTTTTTTTTTTTTTTTTTTTTTTATGAATTCCTTTCTAGGATCCAAATGAGGAGTGTATTCCTGGAACTTAGCACTACTTTTAATTTGCATGAATATCAATCATACTCAATAAGCCTCTGGATCAGCAGATAATATGGAATTAAAAATGGATCCTAAGACTTGAGAAAAGCCTGTGCTACGAGGAGGGAAAACATGTATATTTAGAATATTCCTTGCCGAAAGTAATTTCCATTATGCATGTATTGTTACACCGAGAGGAGGGGACAGAAAGAGGACAAACGGCATAAAATAAAGTAATTGGTGAAAGGGATTAAAAGAGGAGAGAATAGAAGTGAGATTTTATTATTTTGCTCATTATTTCAAATCCTAGTTAAACAACAGACTTGGCTAGTGTTAAAGCCAATTATCTCCTTTTATAGTGCTGTAAATGAGAGAAGGAGAGAGTCAGCTTGAAATGCTTAGGGTCAAATACACTACAGAACAGCTTCAGACACAAAGTAGGTCAGACAAAGTTAGCTTCAGCAGGAATCTGCTGCTGTTATTGTTAAAACTTCACTCATTCCTTTAAATGGCACAAGAACAAATATAGTATTTATGACTTTATGTCTTTAGAATAATTTGCCTAATTGTTCATGATTGCACAAAAAATGCTTGCACATTTTTCTTTCTGGGGGTTGAAACATGAACTTTAGTTGAAAGATCTCTGATGCTAAGCCAACATGTTATTGCTGCTTGGTAAATGAATGAATTAATTTTATTAACCCCAGAGGGAAATTCACATATTTCAGTACAACCGTCAAAAACAACATACAATCCAACTTCAGACATGACATTTAGACAGGTGTCTGAGGGGAGGCGCCACCCTTTATGAACACGGTAAGCACTGGAACTGGTTTGGTGGGGAAGATCTTTATGTGTAAAACACCCAGGAAGTTAAAATTTAGGCACAGATGGGTTTTCCAAATGGACAAGGACCCTGAGCACACCACCAAGTAACCAAGTTAATTACAAAGTAGGTTAGGGGCAACAAAGAATGTTTTGGATTGATACAAGTTATATTGTATAAATTCATGCTACCAAATTGGAAAGAAATGTATGTAAGCTTTTGACTTTTTATTTTTATTTTTTATAAAGTAACTTTTATTACTATGTGTTAACACACACACACACACACACACACACACACACACACACACGTAAGAAAAGACATCACTTAAAACTCTCCTCTTCATTATGTTGGCATTTAACAACTCTTAATAATGTTAATATTAATAATGTTAGTAATTCCAATTAATCTAAAGAGGAAAAGTTGAGTCTGATTTTGTCATACATTGAAAAGGCAACTGTACAGTATGCAAAAATCTGTTTTCAACTGTAACTAGATAAATGGAAATATTGAGAGAGAATAATTCAGTGCATATACATGATCTGAATCAAGTCTACAAACTGATTGAAAAATTGATTAAAGTTGAAGCATAACCCAAAGAATTTACGTCACAGAACAAGAGTCAGTCCAACAGATTCTGTTTTGTCATAAGTTCCACTTTAAAATGTGGGGTTTTTGATTAATTCATATTTGATCCAGACTCTCCCTGTATCAGACATATATTTGCATCAGCATTTATTTTTTAGGATCCCTTAATGAAGCTTTACCGTTGGTACACCTCAGGCAATAAATACTGTTGGAGGTCAAATTCCCTAATTCCTTGATAAATCAGTCTTATCTTGTGGCCAAGAAAGTGACAGACTCGCCCCAAACTCTGCTTCCCAAACCTTGGTTACAGACTCATAAACTATGTATGCTCCCTCCTTATCTGCCTCAAGCTTGCTTGTACTGTTCCAATGAATAGTTCATCACTTCAGTTGCTGTTGTGTTCCAGTCATCTATTTTCCTGACTTTAACAACAGACTTAGTGAAAGCAGAGCAGAGCACTACCTTTGCCCAAGGACACAGAGAGACAACAAGATTAGGTAGATGTGCCTAGAAACTAAGTGAGTTAAGTATGTTGCATGACACCGTGTGTATGTGTGTGCGTACGCGTGTGTGCACATTGGTGTGAGTGTGCGGATACCCCATTGCCGTGACAGTTTGCAAGGCAAGACTCCAGCTCGGTAAAAGAGGCATTTTGGCATTTGCGGTCTCTGCACACCTGGAAGAACACAAGCAGAAAGACCACAGATTGTGATAAAGATGACAGCACACATATACAGACTTTGATCAGCCTTGTATTTGCACCCTTGGGCTCTGGAACAACTTGTATGCCTTTGGAAATCAGGAAATGGTACCAGCATCTTTAATTAAAAGAGCAGTTTTACAGATATGCTTTTAAAACTTATAGTGGTGTTAGATGAAATCAGCAACATGCCTCCTTTACCTACCAGCATCCTTAATGCTGGTAGGTAGAAAATATACTTAAAATACACTGTTCTGACAAACAAAATGACTAAACAGAGGGTCTTTTTTATTTTATTTTCCATTTTTTAAGCAGTAATGCAGTTTCAATATTTTCCCCTCAGTTTGCTGCTTATTTTCCTGGAGTTACATCTGATCACAGTAATCAGCACAGAAACGAACAGTTTCATAACAGGAAAAATCAACAGATACTCCCACATTCTGATTAAACTCAACACGTTGTCATGAACTGTGGTTGTTGGTGGTGGTGAGAGAGACGCCGGTAATCCCAGG